GAAGTAAGCCAGAAAGATAAAGACCATTACAGTATACTAACACATATATATGGAATTTAGAAAGATGGTAACGATAACCCTATATGCAAAACAGAAAAAGAGACTCAGATGTATAGAACAGACTTGTGGACTCTGTGGGAGTAGGTGAGGGTGGGATGTTTCAAGAGAACAGCATTGAAACATGTATATTATCTAGGGTGAAACAGATCACCAGCCCAGGTTGGATGCATGAGACAAGTGCTTGGGCCTGGTGCACTGGGAAGACCCAGAGGGATCGGGTGGAGAGGGAGGTGGGAGGGGGGACCGGGATGGGGAATACATGTAAATCCATGGCTAATTCATTTCAATGTATGACAAAAACCACTGCAATGTTGTAAAGGAATTAGCCTCCAACTAATAAAAATAAATGGAAAAAAAACAAAACAAAAACAAAAACAAACTAACAAAAAAAGAATGACTTCCAGATTTCTTGCCTGGTAGCTAGGTCTTCACTCTATTTTCTGAGCTAAGAAATACCTTAAGTTTGAGTGAATTTGAAATGCCTGTGGGGCATTCACATGGGAAAGTTTAGTATGCAGTTTTATATAAAAATTTGAATTTAAGGAGAGAAATCTGAGCTGGAGACAGAAATCCGGGAGTTGTCAGTTAGCAAAATTACCAGGAAAACTAGAGAGAAAGAAAGAGGGTCAAGACTGGAATCCTGGGGATGATCCATATTTGAGAGTTGGTCTAAGGAAGAGAAACCTAAAAAAGAAATCAAGGTGGAAAAAATGAGAAAAATGAGGGAAAGAAACAAGAAAGACTGGTGTCTGAGAAGACAGGGAAGGAGGCAGTTCTGATAAAGAGAACATTGTTAATAATGTAAAATCCATAGAAACATTATATAAAATAAGGACTAAAAAGTGTGCAGTAGGGTTAACTCTAGAGATTACTGGTGACCTTGATTTCTATGAGTAGAGGAGACAGAAGCCAGAATTGAGTGACTTTGAGAATAAATGGCAGTTAAACTAAAAGATATGGCAACCACTGGGGAATTTTCAAAAGGTGCAGACAGAAAGGAATCAAAGAGATATAGTGATAGTTAAAGGGTACATAGGTTTCAGAGAGGAAGCGGCTTCAATGACAGAAGGAAGAATCAGTGAAAAAGGAGTTGCTGAAGATGAAGGAGAGGCAAAGCTTTTGGGGGTTCTGGATTATTTTCACAAACTTACCAAAGTAATCTGAAGACTTACCAATAACCTTGATATGGAAGGTGCAGCTGGCTTGGTTGCTGGATGGGTCAGTTGCCGTGTATGTGACAGCAACATCTCCAATTGGGAAAAGATAAGGTGGGGTAAAAGCTGGATGAACGTGGATTGATACCTTTTGGAAAGAAATTTCCAAATATTTGGAAAGTTAAAGTTAACATTAATAGTACTTTTATTACTTTTTGGTTTATAATATACTATTAGCAAAGTGAAGTTAAAAATGATACAATATTTTACATATAGTAAAAAGGAAAAAAAAAAATCAGGCATAGCCTTTGGTGTATTCCTTTCTAGGCTATTCTACCTAGGCAGTTTATAGAGTTTGGATAGATAATATAATAATGCTGCTTTTTGAAAGCAGAGTAAGAAACACTGTTATCTTCTTTAGACTATCATTTCAGGATCATATTTTAAAAGATATGTTTATAAATAGGAACTAAGATTGATTCCCCATCTTTCTTTTTCTTAAAAGATCTTCAGAGCATAGTAAAGTGCCAAGAAATTTTAGCCAAGTAATCTTAGAGGATACACAACACAAAAAATCCACAGAATGAAGTTTCTGTTTTTAGATTTTCATCCAAGATTTCTAATGAAAAATTCAAGGCTGATCATTCTGTTATCAGATGGGCATTTGCATTTATGAGTAGAGTACAGCTAGAGACAGTACAATCATAAAGAGTACTGGAAAGTTTTCAATAGCACACATATTTACAGTGTATTTAGAGTCCATTTGAAAAAGGATACAAATATTTGCTCAAACCTTACCTTTTCCCCAGAGTTGTCTTTAGCTGTTGGGATTTGCCAGGTGATATTAGCAGAGTCTTGCTGTTCCTGAGTCTCAGCCTCTATGTCCGCAGGACAGCTGATCTGAGGAGCTTCCACATCTAATTCAGAAAATTCACATAGCAGTTAATGTATTGATGCAGTGATATAATTCTAAGTCATTTAAGAAACTGGGGCATGCATTCTCAGCAGCTAAGTCGTGTTTGACTCTTTTGTGACCCCATGGACTGTAGCCTGGCAGACTCCTCTACTCCATTGGATTTCCCAGGCAGGAATACTGGAGTGGATTGACATTTCCTTCTCCAGGAGATCTTTCTTACCCAGGGATCGACCCACATTTCCTGCATTGACAGGCAGATTCTTTACCATCTGAGCCATCAAGGAAGGCCACAAGAGACAGGTAAGAAATATTTTTAATCCTAATCTAATCATAGAGGATTTCTAATGTACTTCAGCATGGCTTCCGAAGTTCTTCCTGAACTGGTACCTGCTCCTCTCTTAGCCTCATCACTTACAGATCCCCAGTCAGAACTCAGTCTCCACATCAGATGTCCCACAAGAGTACCATGATCCTTCTTATACCTGGGTCTTTGTTCACGCTCTTTTATTTGCCTGAATCAATACTCTCTTCTTCCTTGAGGCAGGTAACCTCTACTTGTCCTGTAATTCTCAGCTTAGACACAAGCTCCTCAGGAAGCTTCTTCTCTGACCCACTGGTCCATTTTAGGTGCTCACTGCACAAGTTCTGATTGCCCTCTGTCCTTCCCAGCCATGATGCACTTTGCCATTTTTAAACTGAATTTCCTCCCCCCAAAAAATTGAAGTTCTTTGAATGCCACGATTTCTTATTTCATTGTATTATATAGTTTCTGGAATATAATATGAACTTGATTAATACTTATGGAATGAAATAAACAGGAAAAAATGAATGCTGAGTGTGGTAGGAGGGGACTACTTGAAAACAGACTGTCAAGTAGAATTAATTAGTATGCTAAAATGTACTGTCAAAGCAAACAACAAATTAAAGCCAAAGATATTTTTTGCAGTGTGAAACTTTGCGGTACAGATACTGCATTAGATGTGGTAACATTCCACAGAGCTCCAACAGTCACCATAGAGCTAAGTTCTTATTATATAATAAATCCTCTTCAGTTATATTAAATTAAGTCTTCTGCAACTTGCAGCTGAATATATCCAGATTAATCTGTGTCTCACTTTCTTGTTTCTTAAAAGTTTTATTCAATTTGTATTTTCCCTTTCTCAGAGGGGCTAACATGTAGACAATTTGCCCCCACAAAGGTGCATGAGCATATTGACTCTTAAAATCTAAACAAGCATTTCATTTTTTCTTTAGACTTGAATAATAGCTTGAATGAACTTGGAATTTCATGTTTATATGGACTCTCCCTCTGTATTCTTAGCACACTGCTACATTTCCTTCTGGCATTTTGAGTTGCAAACGAAAAGCGTAGTGTAATCTGTCTGAATCTTGTGTCCTTTGTGAAGTTCCTCTTTTCTCTCTGGAAACTTCAGATTTTCTCCTTACCTTTGGATCTTAAAACTTTCACAGAGTAGTGAAAGTATGCCTGCCCAATACTCAGAGACTTTTCGACTCACATTATTCAGTGTTTATGTGCATATGGACAAACAAACTCTTTTCCTCTGATAATGGAACTTTTTACTTTTTATTGAGGCATAGTTGATTTACAATGTTGTGCTAGTTTCAAGTATATAGCAAAGTGATTCATACACACATTCTTTTTCAGATTCTTTTCCATTACGGGTTATTATAAAATATTGGATATAGTTCCCTGAGCTATACAGTAGGACCGTATTGTTGGGGGTAGGGGAGGGACAAATTAGAAGCTTGAGATTAACAGATATAACTACTTTATATAAAATAGATAACCAACAAGGTCAGAGGTTATTTTCGATCTAAAAGTTCAAGACTTTCTGTAGCTCAGGGAAACTTTTTTCTACTGGTAGGAAAATTATTCTCCTCCATCCCTTTTTCTCTCTGTGCTTCTGGAGCTCCTTATTAAAGGGCACTGGTGTTTCTCGATTTCTCCTGGGTGTCTCTCTTAACTTCTATCTTTTGAACTCGATCCACTGGGATATTCAAGTTCCTTGTTCAGTAGTTCTCCCTTCTGAAGGAATTCTCAATTTGTTTCTTCAAATCACTAATCCTGTTTTCAACAACTTCCACTCCACCATTTTGCCCTTTACTTAGAGAGAGATATATTTTTACTTCTAAGAACTTTTTCTTGCTCTCCAGACCTCTTTTTTCATAGCAGTCTGCTCTTGCTGTAAGGAAGCTGGCAATGTTCTCTTGTGAACGTACTGAGATGCAGGTTTCAAAGTGCTGATGACTTGCTTTTATAAGAAAAAAATTAATCTCACTTGCTTAATAGGAGTCAGAAATTCTTCTAAGATTTTCAATTCCCACTGGAAAACTTACCTGATTTCTGGCCCTAATATCATCCTTAGTTTTCTATCTTTTCTATCATTGCCTGGCATGTGGTACTGGATTTTTGTAAATTCACCACCCCAAAGCCAAAATCTTCATAGCATGTATTGGGATGACATCTACCCTTTTACCATAGGTATGCAGTGAAAGATGCAAAGAGTGACAGTCCAACACTACACCAACACACCATTATATAGAACTTGGTTTTCAACTTGACCAAAGTGGGGACCTACCTTTACAAGCAGCTGTCTGAACTTTGGCACTCCATTTTCCAGACGTGGTACACCTCACTTCTTCTCTGCCCCCCGATAAAATGAATCCTTGGCGGCAACTTAGCTGACAGATCGTCCCAGGTTTGGCAGGATGCCTGCCACAGTTGGGAGGTGATACGGTAACACCTTTGGGCTTCTGAAAGGTGGCACAGTAGCGTTCTATTGCAGGAGAGCAAGCAAATATTATTTGCATTCTCACAAATTACAAAATGCCACAGATTCACTTTACTCAAGAAAAATACAATTGGTCTGCATGCAGCTGTCTGCATATGACACAGAACAAATATTGTATTGTTAATTATGTTCAACCAGGTAGTGCTAGTCATGAAGAACCTGCCTGCCAATGCAGGCAGGCGTGACATGGGTTCGATCCCTGCATCAGGGAGATCCCCTGGAGAAGGGGATACCCACTCTGGTATTCTTGCCTGGAGAATCCATGGACAGAGGACCTGGCCACACTGGAGCCAACAGAGTTACAAAGAGTCAGACATGACTGAAGCGACTAAGTGCACACACACATCTCTTTGGTTACCTCATGTTTTCTGCCAGTGTACCAAAACTTTAAAAGATTTCTAACTAGTATTTAAATCAATGCTGATTGTGACTTTTATCATTTGCTTAGAGAACCTTCAGTTTGCAGAATATTACGTTATGGCTCCAAAGTGTAAAATAGTGAATTAGATTCTGTCTTTCATGGGGTAAGTGATGATTCAACAACCAGTTTCCATTTTTATGAGCTTATGGTGGCATCTTTAAGCAAGCATATTTTGAGAAAACTTTTTATACTCTCCCTAGAATCACTGTGTCATGTTAGGGCCCAGACTCTTACTGATGTTATTTTCAGCACTGATGAACAGCAGGTGAATCAGGTAGAAAGGAGAGAGAGGAAAATCAGATGAAGACTTAATACAAGATATGTGTGTGTATGCACATGAACCCACATACAAATTTGTTTATTGTAGTAGTGATTCTACTGGTAGCACTGCCAGCATCTTTACTCTGTATTTCCCATGTGATAATCACTAAGTTTATCCAGTGTTTACTACGTGCCAGGCATTATTCTAAGTGCTTTACATGGATAGACTCATTTAATCCAATGCAGGAAGGACTAGTGTCATTATTTTCACTTACAAACAAGAGCTCATGGCTGGAGCCCACCACGCTCCTCTGTCCAAGGGATTTCCCAGGAAAGAATACTGTAGTGGGTTGTCATTTCCTTCTCCAGGGGACCTTCCTGACCCAGGGATCAAACCATGTCTCCTGCACTGGCAGTTTAATCTATTCTAATGTAATGGAGAATTTTTTCCCATTGCTTTTATGTTTAATACATTCTGAAGTGGATTAATACTTACTTCATGTATATTAACTATACTCTCTTCTAGCTTTTAATGGCTTTATTTTTAATGTATATTTTAAAACTATAAAGTATTTACATTGGTGTCTGGTGTGTATTAAAGACATATGAAAACCTCATTTTGATTCATTTTGTTTTTTCCCAAGGAGCAAGCCAATTTTCCTATATTATCAGTTGAATAAATCTTATCTTCTCAACTGAGCTATGATGCTTCCTTAATAATAATGAAACTCATAAGTCTGGGAATCTATTAAGTCCCACTGATCTGATGGCAATTTTTACATACTTTTCATTTTTGTAATTTAGTATATATTTTAAAACCCAGCAGAATTACTTCCTTTTTACTATTCTTTATTACACTTCCCTTTCAATCTTATTTTAGTGAGTTTTGCCTGCACATTCTTCCAGATGAATCCTGGAATCACTCCCCAGTTCCAAGAAGGGGAAAAAAGAAAATCTCTTTTGGGCTACTGAATAGGTTGCATTTTACCTATACATATATTTGTTAAGAACTTTGCCTTTTGACAAAATTTTATAAATATATTAAAATGTTCTTTCTATCTAAGCAATATTTCGTAGTTTGTGTAATATAGGTTCCATATATTTTTGTTTGAGGTTATTCTTACATATTTTATATTTTATATAGATCTCTGACTGTGGTTTTTCATTATATATTCTGTTTATCATTTATACAGAGGAGTTGTTTATTTTGTATTCTTAAGACTTTAATGAACTTTCAGTCTTTTAGTAGTTTCATTTTATTTTAGAGGTAAACACGTAGTTTACAAATGATTATTTTGAATCCTCTAAGCTCTAATTTTATGATTTATTACAAGAGCTAAATCTTAGACAATCTTACTAAATAACATGGATGATTCTAGCATCCTTTTTGTTTTCCAGATTTAATAAGACTGTCCACATTTTTTCTTTAAGTAGATACAGATGTAAGATGAACTTTTTTTTTCCTTTTTTTTTTTTAAGATGAACTTTTTTTTAATGTCAGTTATCAATGAGTTTCTAAGAATTTTACCAAAAATCTGTTTTAAATGATAATGAATACATTTTTATCTTATATTGAGCAACCATATGAATTTTTCCTATTTGTTATGAAGTAATTTATTATATTAATAGAATATCTAATTTTAAACCCTTCTTGCATTTTTAGGATAAAGCTTTACACATCCTGGCAGACCCATCTTTTGAGTATGGATTGCTAGTATATTTGCTGTCATAGTTCTAGCTTCCTCTTGGTAAATGTCAGATTGGCAACAGAATAACAATAGCTCAATAGTATGAACTGATTTATTTTCCACTATTTGGGCCAAATCAGATGGTATGAGAATTGTTTCATTTTAAAAGTTTGAAAGAGTTTAATTTTTTCCTCAGTCATTTTCAAATGCTTGGAAAGATTGAAGGCAGGAGGAGAAGGGGGTGGCAGAGGATGAGATAGTTAGATAGCATCACTGACTCAATGGACATGAATCTGAGCAAACTCTGGGAGATAATGAAGGACATGGAAGCCTGGTTTGCTGCAGTCCATGGGGTCGGACACGACTTATCAAGTAAACAGCAAAAGCAACAACTAAGTAAACTCTGATATTTCCATTACTTTGTAAATCACTCATAGGTAAGTATTTATTTGCTTTTCTACTTTTTTTCTTGGTTCATTAATAGTTTTAATTTTCTTAGAAAATCATGCATCATAAATGGCGTTTCATTACTTTAAAAACCTCAGACCTCTATATAGTCCTTTGGTATAGCTTCTTAGAAAAATTCCATTTTTGCATTTTTCTTTCTTCTACAATCTACGACTTTATTCAAAGATTTTCCTTTCATCCACTCTACTGCACCCCATCTCCTTTTATAATTCATCTTTACATTATTATGTGCTTCTTTCAACTTCTCTCACACTCACTCTTTTCCTAGTATTTAATTTAATGTTTAGTTATTTTCATTCTTCCTGTTCAACGAAAATATTTATATCCGTGAAGTTATATCAGTATATAATTTAACTTAGGTCACATAACTATGGCTTCAGAATTTTCTCAATTTTGTTATTTTTTTAATTGTATTTTTAAAATGTCTCCATCCATTTAATTCATTTCTTTTATCCCTCTTTGGAGTCTTCATATTTTTCTGTTTTGGTCTAGTTTCATATGTCAGAAAATGTTAAGGACCTTGACTTTTTTATATGTGTTTCAAATAACTTTTCCTTTTTCTTGTTTGCATTTTAAATATAGAGAATATATGTCTGCAGTACTGAAATTTAAAGCTTTATATATTCAGATCTATTATCCTTTCCTTTTTAGGAAGTTATGCTCTGTTAAAATCCATAGTTTGCCCATTTTCCTACATTTCACTCCTTAACCTGCCTCATTTAATTAATAAAATTAATTGAACTTAATTTTTTAAATGAAGCAAGAGTCCAAACTAATTTTTAGATAAGCTTTTCCCCTACGGATATCTAAAATTTCCCTTATTGAATACTATATTTTTCTACAAACTAATGTTTGTTTCTGAGGCATGCTTGCTTCTATTGTTCTGTGCATCCTTGTATCACAAACCTACCATATTAATTACTGGGTGTTCATAATTGGCCTTACAATGGTAAGAATCAGATTTCTCTTATTGTACTTCATGTTCAGAATTTTCTTATTTTGCAACTGTCTACTCAAAACTCTTTTAAAATTAATTATTTTATTTTATTTATTCTTGGCTGCATCAGGTCTTAATCGTGGCATGAGGGATCTTTCGTTGCAGTGCACAGGCTTCTTTCTAGTTGTGGCTTGTGGACCCCAGAGTCTGTCACAACTATTGAGTCCGCATGCTCTGTTGCCCTGAGGTATGTGGGATCATAGTTCCCAGACAAGGGTTGAATGTGAGTCCCCTGCATTGGAAGGCAGATTCTTAACCACTGGATGACCAGGGAAGTCCCTAATACACTTTCTATTGTTGTCCATCAACGTTTAAGTGGAGAATTTCATAGTAACTATGGTTATTGTCAGAATTTGGGGGCTATAGTGAGTTGTTCCTCAATAAATTGTATTAAATAAGGATGGTTATACTTCAAAACAACCAAGACTGACATCCGCTTTAAATCATTACAGGGATGGGTACAAAAATTTTAAAGAGAATTCTTAAAGCTTAAAGAATTTTAAAAATTAAGTTAAACTTAAGAATTAAAGTTTTAAAGAATAACTCCAGAGCAACTTTATTAAATATATTACCACTTTTAATTCAAGACTGGGTCCCTCATAAGAAAAGCTGCTCAGCTATGGAAGCATAGATGACTCCTGGGAGTAAACATTAATATCTAGATACAAATTCTAAGGCAGGGAGACAACTTTCCAACAAAAGGGATTTATTAAAATTTAATGTTCCATTGCTAACCCATCCTTTTTATGGTGGACAGATCCATCATTTTCATTTAAATCTGTGAAATATCTAGAGAAGCTAACTCCCTTTGTTTTAGTTTTATGCCAATTAAGTCTAAGGTTATCAGTAACCTCAGGTATGCAGATGACACCACCCTGATGGCAGAAAGCAAAGAAGAACAAAAGAATCTGTAGATGAGAGTGAAAGAGGAGAGTGAAAATGTTGGCTTAAAATTCAACATTCAGAGAACTAAGATCATGGCACCTGGTCCTATCACTTCAAGGCAAATAGAAGGGGAAACAGTGAAAACAGTGACAGAATTTACTTTTTTGGGCTCCAAAGTCACTGTAGATGGTGACTGCAGCCATGAAATTAAAAGACGCTTGCTCCTTGGGTGAAAACTTTTGACCAATCTAGACAGCATATTAAAAAGCAGAGACATTATATTGCCAACAAAAGTCCATCTAGTCAAGGCTATGGTTTTCCCAGTACTCATGTATGGATGTGAGAGATGGACTATAAAGAAAGCTGAGTGCCAAAGAATTGATGCTTTTGAACTGTGGTATTGGAGAAGACTCTTGAGAGTCCCTTGGACTGCAAGGAGATCCAACCAGTCCATCTTAAAGGAGATCAGTCCTGAATATTCATTGGAAGGACTGATGCTGAAGCTGAAACTCCAATACTTTGGGCATGTGATGTGAAGAAATGACTCATTGGTGAAGATCCTGATGCTGGGAAAGACTGAGGGCAGGAGGAGAAGGGGACAACAGAGGATGAGATGGTTGGATGGCATCACCGACTCAATGGACATGAGCTTGAGGAAACTGCAGGAGCTGGCGATAGACAGGGAGGCCTGGCGTGCTGCAGTCCATGGGGTCGCAAAGAGTCAGACATGACTGAGCGACTGGACTGAACTACAGCTAAGTCTGTCTATGGTTGAGGAATCCTTGTAGCTTCTGCCTCTCGGGAAATACAATGCCTGTCAGGCCTACATCTTTCAGTAGGCCATAACAGCTATCTCATTGCTAATAAACTTTACTTATTATTTTTAATATTTTATACACCCTATAAGCTTTCTGAGCCTGCACAGTGAGGGTGAATGCTACGACTGTTTTTGAATCCCTCAGTAAAGCCCAACATCCTTCCTGGAGACATCCTCTCTTAGACTTGGATACTACTAGATCATACTAGAATAAACCTAGAAACCAATTTAAAAAGTCTACCCATCTAGGATCCTGGCATATTGTAAGTTATTCCCTACATAAAGTTCTCCTATTTTGGAAGTTGGTTATTTAATGAAATAGCTGTTAATGCTCCCAGGTTTACTGTATCTTCCACCTTTTAAGGGTTCACTAAATGGCAGTTGTCATTTCATCATGATCATTATTGTTGTTACCACTGCTGAAGTGTCTGTGGTGTATAAGCAGCAGCAAACTGGAAAAGCTGCATTCATTCTGGACCCAACTACAGGAGTGAGATGTCACAGCTCTTAGTGACAGACAACGAAGAAAAATCTTCTGATGAAACAGAATTCTACAGCCAAGATTCACTGGTTCATAATTTCATCATTTCAATAACAAGGTAAAAGTAAACTGTTTTCAAAAGTGAGGGAATTACATGGCACTTGCTTTTATTTTATTTTTTTTTTGTTTTTTCTCTACTTTCTTTTTATTTATTTATTTATTTATTTTATTAGTTGGAGGCTAATTACTTTACAATATTGTAGTGGGTTTTGTCATCATTGACATGAATCAGCCATGGATTTACATGTGTTCCCCATCCCGATTGGCATTTGCTTTTAAAACAAATCTGTTCCAAATGTGCCCCAAGTGTAACAAAATTCATTATTATTAGAAGTTGTAAACTTTAGGGAGTTGGAAGATTGGATTCTGGTGTAGAAGTCTTTTTACCAGTGGGGAGCAGTAAAACCACATACTTGTTCATGTATGTACACGTCATATATCTATATACATATGGATGTGTATTTATACTCATATGCCTGTATCCATATGAATGTGTATTTATACTCGTGTATCTATATACACATGGATGTATATTTATACTTATATATCTATATACATAGAGATGTGTACTTATACTCATATCTATATACATATGCATATGAGTTTATACTTGTATATCTATGTACATATGGATGTGTATTTATACTCGTATCTGTATACATATGCATGTGAATTTATACTTGTATATCTATGTACATATGGATGTGTCACATATGGATGTATATTTATACTCATATGCCTGTATACATATGGATGTGTATTTATATTCATGTATCTATATACACATGGATGTATATTTATACTCGTATATCTATATACATACAGATGTGTACTTATACTCGTATCTGTATACATATGCATATGAGTTTATACTTGTATATCTATGTACATATGGATGTGTATTTATACTCGTATCTGTATACATATGCATGTGAATTTATACTTGTATATCTATGTACATATGGATGTGTCACATATGGATGTATATTTATACTCATATGCCTGTATACATATGGATGTGTATTTATATTCATGTATCTATATACACATGGATGTATATTTATACTCGTATATCTATATACATACAGATGTGTACTTATACTCGTATCTGTATATATATGCATGTGAGTTTATACTTGTATATCTATGTACATATGGATGTGTATTTATACTCATGTATCTATGTACATATGCATGTGTATTTACACTCATGAGTATAAATGTATATCTATCTATATACATATATGATACTTGAGGGAGCTGGAGGTATTCAGGATGGATGTGTGTTTATACTCATCATGAGCTAGTTTTTAGTTCAGGTCTTCACAGAAAATAGGAGAAAGCAGAGAGCTATAGAAATGACCCATCCAAGGAACCATGCCCTAAGAACTTACCCACACACCGGGGTTCTGGACCATCCCACTGAGCGTTTACTTGGCAGGTAAGCCTAGCACTTCCTTCTAGTCTGTACCCTTCATCACAGGTGACCAAACACACGGTCCTGTAGGACATTTCTCCAGTTGAACAGCTCAGGCGGCCATGTTTGGGCTGGCGGAGACGAGGGCATGTTCTCACTATATGAAAACGATTAGATAATATTTCACTCAATAAAGAAAAAATTATAAATTTAATAATGCCTACATATTGCAAGCAGTAAATAATACACTATTATTTTTTAATTAGAATGGCATAATTAAAAGTATGTATTTTATCAAATGCACTGCCTAAATAATATTCCTGTTGTCTGCCTCTGCCTACAGGTAGGAAACTTAAGCTGTTGAAGGAGTTTGGCCCTGGCCGGGGATGATGGCTGACTAAGGGAGGGACATTCAGCTCTTAATGGGCCTTTGCTGTGATTCTACAGGCTACATTCTAAAGAAAGGAAAGGGTCTTTTCTGGGACAGAGTTCAGGTTCAATTCAGTTTTCAGACCTCTTATGAACTTTTCCTTACTTTCTTATCCTGGTTAAAAAAAAAAAAAAATCTTGTCATCTCTTACAGACAGAGTTGAAGGTGAGAGAGTGGTCATTTTTTTTCCTTATTGCTTTCTCAGGTCATTCTCTCCCCCTTCTTCCTGAACACCTCCAGCTCCTCTCAAGTATCATATCATATACCCAACATCTCTTTCCCCTAACTGTCTGCTGGCTTCTAGGCCATTTCTCATTCTTTGATGATTTTATATTTCTCTCTTTCTCTCTTCCCCTCTCTCTCTTTCACACACATATGCACACACACGATGATGATTTCATCATACAGATGATCATTCCAGTACCCTAGAGTCATATTCCTCACCTCTCCAATAATCAGTCCTTTCCCTTATTTCAGCACCCCCTCCAAGTCCTAAATCCTCCGGACCTGACCATGACCAATCCAAGCACCCCACTCTCTGACAACAACCTGTCTTCCCAGATTACTCTCGCAAGAGCTTCAACTCCAGCAAACTCTACACCCTGTTGCAGCCTCTGATCCATTACATGTCCTTCTTCAGATAAAACCATCTGTAAAGAGTTTAAACTCTTTTCACCCCTCTTTGTCTCCAGTTCTAATTTAGACTCACTCCAACAGGATTTCAAATCAGGAGGAGGATGAAGCAAAGGGGGAGAATAAGGAGAGGTGAGAAGGAAGAGAAGAGAAGGGGGAGGAAAGGCAGGCGCTAGAGAAGAGGAGGGGAGGGGAGAGTTGGAACAAGATTGGAAACGACAGTATGGGGAAGGGAGAGGAGAAGGGGAGTGCTGCACAGACCCGTGGCTGTGACCCTTCCAGTTAGATGGCGTGTACATCCCACTCCTAAATGTATGTACATCCCACCTATGTACCCCAGAAATACATAGATGACAACCAGGTGGATTACTGTTGAATGTTCCAGCAGATGGGCATATACATTCCTATTAATAGCTTACAGGTTTTATCCTAAAAGCATCAGGCACCGTACAAAGCACAAAAACCACCCCTGCAAAAGAACAAATTATGGTTTGCTCTCATGTAACATGCCTGCAACACTAAAGGCCAGAAGACCACGTAGTAATCAAGAGCTTTGTTGGGACTCTGGGTAATATGTCTTTCCTTCTTTTATGAATTTGTCAATTTTTCTTATCAAGCAAGTAGTTACTTTTGATGAAAGTTTAATTTTAAAATAATAGGAAAGGAAGTTGGGGTAAAATATTCAGTGCATATTCAACTGAAGTCATGGTTGGACAGAATCTACTCAAAGAAACCCATTCAAATTATGTGAGTTGACAGAATACAAATTCTGATTTCATGAAAGATATATTTAAGATTGATTACTCCTTAGAGAAAACTCAAGAATTAGAAGTTAAACCATAAGCCCTAGATTTCCAATTAGTTTGAAATGAAGTCAATTATTAATGACAAATGAGTATAATTACATTGACTTCTATGTTTTTTTATTGAGTGTGTCCATCACGTAAGCAGAATTTTTATTAAATGTGTCCATCAAGTGCATAGAAAATATTTTGCCTTCCATATTTTGGCTTTTCTTGAGGTAATCATCAGTGGTAGCACAATGCCAAATGCCAGGTAGGATTAAAAGTGAATAAGATAAATTACTATGATCAAGATATATAAAATCTAGAAAACCACATTAAACAACTGCTTTTCGATTCAATAAACTGCTGAAATGATTTCAGGTTTCCAATTAGGGACAAAACGAACTTGCAACATGTCTCAAGAGAAAAGACAGTAAATGAGAACTGGTGTTTCATACACATGGAAATTATATTGCTTCTCAAAAGTGTTGGTTTTAATAAACTTTCATTGCTCCTCTGGGAAAACAAAAGCATATGTAATAAATCCTATTTAGTTCTTAAATATCTTATGTTCCTTTTCAACCAAGAATGATCATTTTTATCATTTTGGATAGGAACATGCTTATATATGAGTTTCAACTTCCAAAACATTTTTATTTCAATAAGCTGGAAAATTCTGCAATAAGTGTTTGACATTCATATTAAAACAATCCTTAAATATTTATTAAGCCTTTCGAAAACAGCAATTTAATATTTTAAGAGAATGGTTTACTTGGTAGCAGACAATTTAAGAACATGTTCTGGTTCTCATTTGAAAGAATTGCTATATTTTTTCTCAGACTCACAGTTTCTGTCCATCTCCCAATTGTGACAGCTTTAATGAAGAATGTATAAGAGAAACAAGAATCAAGCCTATTAGTTATTATCTAACACTACAAATCATTCAGGATGTGACATGAAATTTGTGAAAAGTTTTACATTTTATACTGGTCTTTCATTTCTGTCTCACTTTTAGAAAGACTTTTAAGAAAACAAAAAAACAGCTAAAATTATCCTCTGTCTTTATAATCAGATTTAAACTGGAGCCCATTATACAGAGCGAAGTAAGCCAGAAAGATAAAGACCATTACAGTATACTAACACATATATATGGAATTTAGAAAGATGGTAACGATAACCCTATATGCAAAACAGAAAAAGAGACTCAGATGTACAGATTTAAATTAGATCTTTAAAATGCTACTTTCTCTATAGTATAAATAAAACTAATTTTATTTCTAAAAATGTTCACCATAATCTGACAATATGGGGTTTTTGATTTGTAAAAAAATGTAATATCAGCAAAGCAAAATAAATCAAAGTGCATTAAAATGAAGTATGCCTATAAAAATCTATTAATGAGGAGCAAGAGAAAGAGCCTGAATTAGTACCTTCCTTCAGGACAACCTTGTTCACTGATAAGTTAGGAAGCAGCATTAGAGGTGAAATGGAAAGAATTTTAGGAAAATTCACTTTCTTGAGCACTGCTTTTACTTTGACTAAATTTATTTTATTTATATTATGCAAATTGCATAAAAGACAATAACCCTGCTTTGTAAAAATGAAACTGCATGATGGGAAGTGACACAGAAGACCACCAATGTAATTTGTCAATGTATTTGTCAGTGTAATACTTACCAACACGTATATTTGTTAAATTCAGATTTTCAGTCATTCAGCAAAGGTATAACCAAGGATTGGCTGGAGTAGGAGAAGATACATTCTATGCTCATAATGAGTTCACAGACTAGCAGAGATGATAGACGAGCTAATTAATAAAAATACAGTGGTATGTATTGTAACAAGCTGGTTAAGCTGGCAAATGCTGTCAGAATCCCCTTACAGTGGGCCAGTTTAGGGTTGATCAAAGAACCTGCACTTGATTGTGGAAGATGGAAGAGAAGCAGTGGTCATTGCAGGCAGACTCACTGATGGACAAATGTAGATGTACAGTAGGTTCCAATTCATGTTTCTTTACTTGTCTCCACCCTACATCTCAACTGCTAACCCTGTTGACCCAAGGTGGCCCAAGCTCACTGCTAGGTTCTTGGCTATAGAACATCAGGGCGGGGTCACACAGAAATGAAGCTTCTCCTAGGCTTCCCAACACACTTCTCTTGTGATTCCACTACAGCAGCTGCCTGGGCTTGGATTCCTGGGCTGGTAGTATCTCTTCTGAGGCTCCAGTTTCTCTTTCTGAAACTTCTACTTTCCAGCTCCTTCTATTATCTAGGGTGAAACAGATCACCAGCCCAGGTTGGGTGCATGAGACAAGTGCTCGGGCCTGGTGCACTGGGAAGACCCAGAGGGATCGGGTGGAGAGGGAGGTGGGAGGGGGGACCGGGATGGGGAATACATGTAAATCCATGGCTAATTCATTTCAATGTATGACAAAAACCACTGCAATGATGTAATTAGCCTCCAACTAATAAAAATAAATGAAAAAAAAATAAAGAAAGAAAGAAAAAAAAAGAAAAAAAAAAGAAAATAAAAATAAAATTGTATAAGGTCTGATTCTTAAAATAAGTTCCTTGTCCCATAACACAGATGGGGCACTTCCTGGGTTTTCCTGACTAACCCTGACGCATGGAACATAAGGGCTGGAATGAGGGCACAAGAGGTCTGCGTATGCACATGTGGAGGTTAGAGGTCATCACATCCCAGCGGGAGGTCAGTGATGGGGCGGGCTTATCTACAGGGGCTACAGGTCCCTGTAGATCAGAGGATCAAGGTTGTTCCAACAACTTACAAAGGGATGGCTTCCTGACAGGTGTGGCCACTTCTTAAGGCTTTAGCATAGGATTCAAGGTTCAGGATGGAGATTGTAGAGGGTCAAAGAGGCAGGGGCTAGGTCTTATCCTAAAGGGATTGTCTGCCTGATTTTCTCACTCTCCTTTGGAAGGCCAGTAAGGGGAAAGTTAAAATGTCAGGCTTTCCACCTTCTGCCATGAGGTATTTAGGAGAAGGGGTAGAGATTATACATAGACCTTAATAACTATACAGGAATATATTTAAGAGGTTCTTACGATTAACTTTTTCAGGAACGGGCTTTTTACCATTTGAAACTGTGTGACTGAGAAGGTCTTGGCTTTCCCACATAAACAATCGCTTGTCAAAGTTTAGAGATCTAAGGTCTAATTCTTTTCTTCAGAACTTTGGAAATATTTGCTGATCTTCTAAAATTTAGAGTGGCTGGTAATGGGCTCAAGGAGAGTCTGATTCCCCTTCCTTCATAGGTAATGTTCTTAAACATCTAACTGTGAAACAGGCACAATTTTCTAATTTTTCCAAGGCTTTCAGAAGTTTCAGTAAGATTATTTCCAGACATGGATCTGTTTGCAATAATTTGTTTTCTGGCACTCAGTAAGTGATTTTAAGTTCAGTATCAAAGATTTCAGTCATGTGTATCTTCAAGATTTCAGCTTGCAGATACATTCTTTGATCTTCTAGGAGTGCTTCTCCTTGGCTCCATTTTCTCTCTGGATTCCTAGTCTGCGAAGAGTCTATTTCCTGTGACTGTTCTCATGTCATTTTATTCTTTCACCTTTTTTCTAATCTTTCAAATGTTGTTCTACTTTCAGAATGATTTCTGGGGTTGATTTTCTAACTTATTAATTTGGCTTTTGACTACAATCTCAGGTTTATCCCATTTCTTGGAATCCTAATCTTATTTTACCAATGCAATTGTAACTGCCTTTGAATCTCAGTGATTCCATTACCCCCAACCTTTACTTTCAGTTCTCCTTTGTTCAGTCTGTTCCTTTTGTAAATACAGGTAAGAGTCTGAATTAGGACCTGGATTTAAGCAAATCTGTAGATGAGTTCAGTATCGGTAGCTGATAAATACAAAGATGAATGTTTCCTGGGGTTCGCAAGTGACCCTGAAGTTGTGAGTAGGTTGGCTTCCCTTATGGGTGTGGGAGCTGAGAGAAGCCAGGAAGACAGAACTTCTCATTCTACTGCAGTAAGCAAGGTGATATGGGGGTCTTGGAGCAGTCAAGGCCTCAGCAAAACTTTTACGGCACGCTGTCTATTCAAACTCAAGGCTGGGGATGTACATGCTGGCTAACTACTCTTGGCACAGGATACTGGCATGGTTCCCCAAATCCTGCCATCAAAACAGACATCAAAGCCCCATGCTGACCATCCTCTAACTCTCCCTGGACCCTGTCTTGGCTGCTTGAAATCTGAGGTTTAAGGTAACCTGTCCATTTCCTTCCCAGGCAGGCCTTTCCCCTGCTTGTTCATAAAAGAAACACAGGAGGCACAGTTTATGATGATGTGGTCAATTGAACTTAGTAGTTCTGACTAAACTTCCTATAATTTTTTCTCTTTCTGTGGTCCGTGGTCCATGAGCTCAAAAGCAACCAAGAATTTACTGGTCCATTAGAGTTTCAATCAAGGACATCGAGCAAGACAATCAGTAAACAGTGTGAATTGGCAGTCTGCATACCTCTGCAGGAGCTTTCGGAACCGGACCACAAACCACTGGGGAGACACAAGAAGATGCTGCTTCCCACGAGGTCAAACCCAGGGTGACAGCGGACCCCACAGGCTGCATTGAAGTGGTTGTTGCACGTGTTTCGGATAAAGTAACCGTTTTCAGGAGGCTTCAGAGCAGGGCAGTGGACAACTAACATTTACAGAAATAAAATTAAAAAGCAAAGCTAGCCTTTGTCTATAAAGCATCCTCCTCCCACTTTTCCTGTTTAAGAGGACATTTTATACGCAGAGCTAAACTACCTCCAGCACTCCCATTTATTGCATGTGTTTGTAAGTGCATATTTGGAGGGACACTTACACCTCATGCTTAGTAGGTATTTGTTTCTAATTAAATTTAAAGACAGACTAAATACTTAAGCCTGAAAAATCTTTTTATCTATGTGAATATGAAATTTTCTAGTTCTTGACCTTCATGTGTCATTTGCTATTTCCCTTCTCAATTAAAGCAGCATAAAATAAAGAACGAGAAGGGCCAGCAAAACATGTCTGTCACAATCCCAGGACCCACAGCTTCTTGTACAAATTATTGGCTAAGTAAATATTTTTAATTTTTGGTATGAATAATTTCAAGGCACATTACTTACAAAAATATTTTCTTTAAATGGATTTAACCATCACCAGGGCCCCAAAATAGCTCATTTATTATTCAAATTTACTGTTAAATTTGAGACTTCTCAGGACTTCCCTGGTGGTCCAGTGGTTTGAGAATTCCTGGTTCTCAACACAGGGGGCACAGGTTTGATCCCTGGTCGGGGAGTTAAGATCCCTCATGCCACATCCTATGGCCTCACCAAAAATATTTATCTGAAAAAAACCTTGTGACTCCTCTCTTAATGTTCATTTTAAATCTTTTATAAGTCTGTTTTCATAGTTAACGATACTTCTGGAGTCTCAGACCTCCTTTCTCTGAAACAAGATATGGCTATGTTCACTGATAAGAAATGCTAGATAATAAAAATGTTCTCAACACAGGGGGCACAGGTTTGATCCCTGGTCGGGGAGTTAAGATCCCTCATGACACATCCTATGGCCCCACCAAAAGTATTTATCTGAAAAAAACCTTGTGACTCCTCTCTTAACGTTCATTTTAAATCTTTTATAAGTCTGTTTTCATAGTTAACGATACTTCTGGAGTCTCAGACCTCCTTTCTCTGAAACAAGATATGGCTATGTTCACTGATAAGAAATGCTAGATAATAAAAATAAAGACTTTTCCCCAAATATGATTAGAGGATCATGCCCAGGGAACTGGATGAAAACTCTGGTCTTACCTCCCTAAAACAGGTCAGTTTTTATACTTCCTATCTGCCAGCGGTGGGATCCTTACCTTTGCAGGTCTGGCCGGAGGCCTGGTACCCCTCTTTGCAGACACAGTCTTCAGGGGACGTACTTCCAGGTGGAGACGTGTGATTTTCATCAGGACATGGAAGGCAAGTGCTGATTCCTCCCGGTGAACCTTCTGGTTTGTATGTCCCAGATGGGCAAGCTGTGGGTAAGCCAGGGAAGTCCATTTTATGTGATATGTCAATGGATAGTGAACACCATTCTGGAAACTGATTGGGGCAAAAAGAATCCCAAACAATAGCTTTCCACAGAAATAATCGTACAATTCAAGCAAGGAGAGAAACCAAGATTTTGTTTGTTTAGAGTGATGTAGTTTGTAATTTTCAGGTTACGAAGTAGCCTCTTAACGTTCCACAATTAGTTACAATCACAACACACTGCAGCATGATATGGCTGGGCTGATTTGTGGGAAAACTCAGAACAGTGTACTTGAGGGGACTAAAAGGAATCCATAAAGCTCAGCGTGATTACTCAAGAAAACAGGTTTGCTTGACCACAAAACTAAGCAGGCTCGATTAGCAACAAAACCATGCAACAGAAGCATGAGACATGCCCCAAAACAATAAAACAATGATGGTATGACCCATATCCTGTTCAGTAAGTTAATGATCCCTAGAACATGCTCTCTATACACATAAAAAAAAAATAAATTTGTGGACCTAGCTTGACCATGTAGGGACAAGGAAACTCTCTTGCCCAACCTGGAGGAGGGGTTGATGATGGAAGCGTGACATCTCCCTTCCTCACTTTTCCTTTGATTATACAACTGTAGCCCCATAAGTTCTTGGGATGTGGCATCCTTTCACCTGTCCAACTTGTAAACCTCACAAATGTCCTATTCTAATAAATCACTTCTCACTATCAAAAAAAAAATCTTCTAAAGACGGTATACCCATATTCTAACCACCCCCACCCCCACGTCTGCAGCTGCATCTCCTTCACTGCGCTCCGCTCACTCACTCTCAATGGAGAAGAATGATTGTAGACGTGCAAAAATTACTGTGCCCTTTGGTTTGGTTCAAAGTACTTGACAAAGGATGAGGAGAAAGTAAAGGGCTTGAGGGAAATGATCCTACTGATGAGAAATAGGCCCTTTGAAGCAAAGAGAATCACAGACTCTGCTTTTCCCAGACTCGGGGGGAAAAAAAAAAAAGATGAAAGCAGGATCTAACTGACCTTGCTTCATATCTTCCCTTTGTACCAACAATGTGGCTTTGAACCTGTATTTACTCTCTCTAGAGTTACACTTCTGTAAAATAATTGAAAATTAAGAATTCAATAATAGAAGAAATTGTGGAAATAGAACTTGCAGTGCCTAGTGAAGCCAAATAAATGTAGCATAGTCAAGTAAGCATTAGATCATTTTTAAAAAGTAACAACCAAGGAATGTGCACTTACGTGTGATGCTATTTGATACAAATGATCTCATTTAATACTCACAGTACTAATTAGTATTAATAATTACTAATATTTGTATTAATGAGTACATTATTTTTATTAGTGCTGTGTCCATTTTAAAGAGAAAATGGAGGTTTAGAGTAACCTGATGATTAGGCTAAAGTTACTCAGTTAAAAGGTGATAGAGCTATGAGTTTATTTTTTTTTTAGTACTTAACATTGGCTTATTATATTTTTATATTGAAAATTCAAAATCACATTTATCTTGGTTGTAATTAGCAAGCAAAATATTTTTAAATTAAATATATATAACCTTTCCTCTTCCTGCTTTCATTTGTTTAAGGCCTGTTTCTAGGTAGATAAGCTCTGGCTTATTTTTTTAAAGATTTTTTTTTTTAAGGTTTACAACAAAATTGAGATGAAAATCTGTGCCAGAATTTTACAGCAAATGTTTATACAGCATTCACTATGTCCCAGGGACTGTTCCACATATTTTGTAAATTATCTTTTTAATCTCTTTAAGAAGTATCATAGAAATGATACTATGAAGTATCATTTATCTCATATTACAGATGAGAAAACTAAAGCACTAAGAAATTAAATAAAACTAGCCAAAATTATATAGTAAGTGACAAAGCTGAGATTTGAACTAGAAGAATTTGGATCCAGATGCCACATTCTTTATCACCACATGTTCTATGTCTCACACCCCAGTATCCTGGATGCAAAAGTCCTTGTTTCAACAACTATAATGCTAAACCCAGAAACAATCAGTGTTGAGATAGAGGACTCATAATGTTATTTTTAGAAAAAGTATTCATGCTTCTAACATTCTTGATTATATTTAAAAATGAAAGAGAACATTTTCCCATGTATATAGTAGAAAATTCCAGAACTTGATAAATCTGTAGCTATTTAAGAATGAAAGAAACATTTTATAAATGTTTTTATAAATTTATAACTATTTTATAAATAGTTATAATGATGTGTGACTTATGAAAAGTACTTCAGCAGGAAAAAGGGGAACATGACTTCAAAGCATCATAACATTAAATATTGAATTATTCATATTTCTTAATAGTCATTTCTATAAAAAGTTCAGTAAATATGTGCACAGATCTTCACAAAGATGCAAGACAACACTGTCTCCCTTAAACAGAAGTCAGTAGCTGTAGGAGAAAATGATTAAGAGAAATACAAAGATAGAAAAGAAAACATAAACCGTAAGAGCAAAATTAAAGTTGTCACTGGAGGCAGTAAAAAGTAGCCATAAAATTCTAAATCAACAGAATTGAGTAGACCTTGGAGAAGTTGTGATATTAATGTAAGAAAATACTCTACTTGACATTTTAGTGCCATAAAACTCATCAAGTTCCAAGCAAAATTAATAGTGTTTCACACCTAGAATAAAGGGAAAGTATTACAAGCAACTAAGAAAGAAAAAAAAAGAAGGAAACAAAAATCAAACTGACATTTCATTTCTCCTGTGCAAAGACAAATGTCAGGAAAAAGAATAAGATACATAGCTATGCGGAAAAAATAGTTTGAACCCCAAATTCTGTATTTGGGCAAACTACTGGCAGATATGAGGAAAGAGAGAGACATCTGAGAATGTGCATGGTTTCTGGAAATCAATATGTATTCCACTGATTGAAAAGAAGTCAAAATAAAGAACTCATACTTGAGAAAAATGGTATTGAAAAAATTGCTTGAGATTAAGAAACCATCCTAAAGGAGATCATTCCTGGGTGTTCATTGGAAGGACTGATGCTGAAGCTGAAACTCCAGTACTTTGGCCACCTCATGCGAATAGCTGACTCAGTGGAAAAGACCCTGATGCTGGGAGGGATTGGGGGCAGGAGGAGAAGGGGACGACAGAGGATGAGATGGTTGGATGGTATCACTGACTCGATGGACATGGGTTTGAGTAAACTCCGGGAGTTGGTGATGGACCTTGGTGTGCTGTGATTCATGGGGTCGCAAAGAGTCGGACACGACTGAACTGAAGAAACCAGTGGAACATGTAGTATATTGCCAAAATAATTGCAAAAATGAAAACAAGTGTCAAATAAAGCCCCTTCTTAAAAAGATATATAATCCAAGGAAAAAAAATAATCTTTACATATTACAAAGAAAAAGGATTTAAAATCTGAGAGAAACTGGGAGATGGTTGGGAAGAGGAAAAGGTGAAGTTCTCATTTTGTATACACCAATATGATAAAACTGAAAGAAAAACAGGTTTAAATTTGGATACAAAGAATACACAAAACTATGAATAGAAAAAGAATGTACAACCACCAAATCAGTGGGGAAGGAAAAAACACAAATAACAAAAGATATAAAAACATAGGACAAGAAAATAGCAGAGAGAATTCATAATAAAATATCATAAACTAAGGTAATGGAAGTAAAACCAAACATATCATTTACCATCAATAAGAGTAATGGGTTAATTTAACCCTGTTGGTAAGATATAAACTTAAAACAAGCCAGAGAAATAGGTTAAAAATAATTGGATGTACCAAAATATGTTAAATATTTCAAAAAATCTTCAAGAAGCAAACAAGTTACTACCTTAAGGAGAAATAAAAGTTTAACACATAAAGGGCTTTATCTAATATATGAAAAATAGGATAATTTCAACAGAAAAGTTAACAAAGAACAAAAGCTGGAGATTAAAGAAATGACAATGACCCATAATTGTTGCATACATAGTCTAACCTCACTTATAATGCAGAAAGGCAAACTGATGACTACTTTTCGATTTGAAAAAAATTTAAAGGATATTAATACCCATTCCCATTGTTGGCAGGCATGTGGGAAAACAGGCTTTCTCCCACTTTGTAGGGAAACCTGAGGGTAGACACTAAAACCCTCAAATAGAGCCCTTCTTTTGATACAGCAATTCATTTCTAAGAATCTGTCCAAGTGAAAGTCAACATTTTTTACCTACACATATAAGTACGAATAATTGTTAATTATATACATAAGTATGTATAGTTACTGTTTGTCATTACACAGCATTGGAGATAACACAAGTGTCAAGACACGAAGGGTCTGTTAAATTCTTACGACACATCCATCCAGTGGCATATTAGCCATAAAAATACAACTGTTGACAAGGAAAGTCAATAAAATCGTGTGGTCAAGTGTAAATAAAAGCATGTCCCAAACACCATATGTGCTGTATGATCTTTTGACTAATAAATGCATAGAAATCTAAAAGGTTATGTACACATGGTTTGTTTCTCTGGTGGCTTAGGCAGTAAAGAATCTGCCTGCATTGCAGGAGACCCAGGTTTGATTGCTGGATCAGGAAGATCCCCTGGAGTAGGAAATGCAACCCACTCCAGTATTCTTGCCTGGAGAATCCCATGGACAGAGGAGCCTGGCGGTCCACGGGGTCACAAAGAGTCGGACACAACTGAGCGACTAACACACATGGTATCTATTCATGGTAGAATGACAAGGTTTCCAAGGTTGTTTATTTTTGCTGATCTACATTTTCTTGTTTTGTTACACTGAATGGGTACTGTGCCAAAACATTAAAAGTAAAGGAAAATTATGTATAAGATAAAGTCATTATCTCAAACACATATGTTTCATTTCACAGTTAACTACTTCTCTGACCTCAGAGATCACTTCAATTCCTCCTTCTCCTTCCATCTCTTTCAATATTGAAATGAAAACCATGTTGTTTAGATTTTACTCCATAAAAATCCTCCAAATTTTGCCTATCTCTCC